AAGTGTTTTTTGTTCACGACTGTAACCCTAGCAGGAGATTCTGACTATGTTAGTCATAACTCTTTTTGTTCGACTCCAAGCGAGCCCCAACTAAAATGTTGTCTCACTCGAAAAGGTTGAATATCACAGTTCCTCATAAAAATTACAGACCACAAAGAAACAATCTTAGGTCCACACCTTCCTAAAGTTTGGGTCTAAAGTTCTGGTGTAGTGAATTGGTCATCCGTAGCCTTAATAAATATGAGCCTACTGCCAAGTTCGGCCGCATTCAGCAAGTACGCCAGGTCTAGAAGACCGACATTGCTTTTGCCAGAAGACGTTTCCGCTTCCACAATGTCCACTAATGCGATGGGCATGTCGGCAGCGTAAACGGTCTCGACTGTCACGTCAGTTGGCCAGGCCACATGACGCGTGGATGAGCAGGCGTGTGTGTGCGTTCGTGCAGACTAGACAAGTTGACCCCGTTACTAACCGATCGACAATAAACAAAAGCCTGCACATCATCACAGGTTCAGTAAAAATACACACTGTTTATGGCTTCAGTGGCAAGGTAAAGCCGGCGCAACTCGAATTGACAACTAGATTCCCCCTGTAGTGTGTCGTGGCAGCCGAGGTAGACGAAGTCGTAAAATCAGGTGATTCTTGTCTTCCTGGTCCTTCCGTTGTTAGAGTAAGCGTCTCCGCCACACAATATCCACTGGATCATTGCCCGCCATGTACCATTAGTTATGGCACTGCCTTTCCAAAGCCACGTTTCCATTCCTCAAAACTTGGGATTTTATTCCTTGTCATTTAACTGAATTCACGTCACCCACAGGACATTCTTAAATATATAATATTCGTACCATGCAAGTAGATTTTTTTGAGCAGATTCTTTTATCCTGGAGCTTTGTCGAGGTAACTTATGCAGGCCTCGGAGTTAATGACTTCCTCCTCCAGTAAGGTGTGGTTAAGGAAAGAAAATATGAAGGCTAAACTAGACATTCCCTCCACCATTTGAGAATGTTTTTTGGTGAATGAACACAATGAGTGCTTGTGAGAGCTCCTCTATGGCATCTTTCAATCTTTCCAATTAGAAACAGTATTTCCATAAATCTGAGTGCCAGTAAATGAGTTAGTCATATGACGTTGGCCGTACCCGATGATGCAACCACTTGCCAAGCATCATCAGTTTTGTATCATCGTTGGTACAGGTTCACCTAGTTCTAATAAAGAAACATTTTCACACTTCATTCTAGTAAAATACTTGACCTAGAAAAAGTCAAACTGTCATGCTTATAAAAAGGATTGTTTTCTGACTTTCTATTGACAAATAATCACAAGTCCCAAATAAAAGTGGGACATTACCACAATGACATCACAGAAACTCCCGTAGATTGGTTGTTACGGATGGCACCCTTCGCAACTGTTAATTATTTTTTAAAACAGAGAGATTTCAGTGAGGTAGTTTATGACGGAAAAGCTTTGCCCAAAATGCATGGCGCTGTCCTGGCGTTGAAGTGAAATCAGCCTTCTGAAAAGCGCAAAACTGACATCATATTTTACCAACAAAATTGTGCGCAGCCTGCGAGATTTGTGGCTGGTACAGTTTTGCATCCAAGCTCACCCCTGTGAAGGAGAAAATCGTACAACTGCAGAAATTCTGGTTAAATATGTGCAGTTTTGGGTGGATGTACACCCAGAAGTTAAAACCTTAGGTTGGTTGTGCTAATACGAACGTGAAACTGTGTACCAGATGTAAAACTCTTTGTAGTGTTAAAGTATGAGAATTTATGCTCCTTTATAAGCTATAATTTACATACCATCCGTCCATTGGATGTGTAGATTTCTAGAATTCATGCGAAACGTCCTCGTAGATCGTGGAATCCGAGGCACCGAGGACATGCCTGACGGGCTCGTGTGCGGATCCTGGAGCGCAAAGTCGGCTGCGGCGGCGGCAGTTGCCCCGTGCCTCGAAAGTAAGCAGGCCTCTATTCTGGGCCAGGAGAGCCGTCCCTCGTTGGACCTGTCTGCCGACGCTCAATTCGCCATGGAGTCGTCTAGCAGCACGCCTCCCTCAACGCTTGACGCAAAAAAGACCTCACCGTCCAGGCCTTCATCACCTTTGTGGCCACCTGACGCGCCGACCAACTGGTTGTCGAGTTCTTTGGAACCAACAGACGCAGGTCTGTGGTGCTTTTGCTGAGTGTTTCAATTTAACCACCACCAGCACGGATTAAGTACTAAAACAAATGTGGCAAATTCTGCAGCCGACAATTTGCAAATGGTTTATTTCATTCAACTTTGTAGTGTTAGTTAGCTAAGTGCCAAACTTTTATGGGTAAAGACTCGCTCCTGATGAAGACTGGAATCAGGATGTCATTGGGTTGGGGATGATGAATTAAAAGGAATTGTTATTATGTCGAAAAACGACGTCTTTTTGAAGCTTATCGTGGACGGTTCTACAGTCAGTGTAATAAAAAAAACATTCGCTGCATCAATGTACACAGAGGATATTATTAGACATGCATAATTTTTCCATTTAGACAAACCACATCACACACCTACGACGGACGATTATGAAGGCTGCGCGAAATCCGAACAAGCGGAATCACTTTCCGATTCACTTCATTCAGATGCTGATGGCATCTTTTTTTGTCACCTCTGCAACTTCACAGGTGAATATCCATTTTATTCGTTTTCATTCTACCGTGACACTTGCCTAGACTAGTGGACGCACCTAGTTGCTTCTAATGCCAGTCACCTTTCCCAGCGTCCTATCGACCACACTTGTGCACCACAGACTAAGTGTGGTAGAGATGCGCTTACATTTAAACCTGTAAACTCTTCATTGCTCGTTAAGAGAGAGAGAGTAAAAATGAATGCCACAGAAAGTTCTTTTATGGACTCGATTCGGTTGAATTTCTGCCCAAAAAGACTGATAGAGTTTGATTTCTCAAATGAGATAACGAAAATGCACATTTGGTTACAAAAAAGGCAATCGAAGGGCGGGCACAGGCTGGTCAAAAAAATGCACTTTGAAAGCCAGATGTACTGATGGTAAAAAGGATTCGAAGGGCTCTAAATAAATGAAGTAATTGTCAGTTAAAGTGACCGATCAGCCAAACGCACCATGTCCCTCTGCTTCAGCCCCCTTTGTTAGCCCGAACCCTGACCGACATTTTGCTCAATTCAAAACGGCCAAATCGGCGGAGCAAGGCGGGTGGTCACAAGTGCGTGAGAAAAAAGGCGGCTACACACGCACGCCCATTCAACTGACGAAGAGCAGGTGGCATTCCGCACAAAGCTTAGTCGGCGAGCGACAAACGTGTCTAGACGGTTTGCCAAACGCCCGCCCCCTGGGAGAGGCGAAAAAACGGTTTGTGGTCATTGCAAGTGTGCGCACGGTGTTAGTGGGAGGGGTTAAATTTATCACCTGTCCGATTCTGAGGGGCCAAACTCCGGCCCCCACACCTTCCACCTTTGACAGCATCTTAATGATGAGGGAGAAGGTTGCGTTTTTGTTTGACACAAAGGCCCACAGAACCTGTTCCAACAGGTAGAACATCCAGAGTACCTGCGGTCTCCTGGCCCTCTTTCATCCTTTCCAAGATGCGTCACTGGCACAGGTACCCAACACAAATTGCCCCCTAAGAGGTCTCGCACACGGCTTTGCTACTGGGTCGGTGACCGAAAACAAAAGTGCATTAGTTTCTATATCAGGGTGGGCGTGTTCATCCGATGTCAAGTTTTAGGAATTAAAATGTGAACTAATGAGCTGACTTCATTGTGCTCACAACAATCTGGTCTTTCGTGCACACCGCCCATGGCGCGGCGTACAGGCGTAGACACCTACTGACGTGACTCTTGAAAAGCCATATGGTGAAATCGTCTTTGGAATTCGCTTGCACTGGTGGGTCTTTGATTCGATCCTTGAGACTAGGACATCAACATCAGAAATCGTCGATTCACCAAGACGAAGAACGTTACTGAATAATACCATCGACATTCACTTGTGGTGTTTTATACAGTTAAAGCTAAAGTCATTTTACCAATTTTGATCTATTTAGGTCTGGAGTTATTGATTAGAAAAGGCAAATTTCGATCCAGGTCTATTTTAAAAATAACCGTGCCATGCCATAGCTTTACCAGTGAAAATTCAAAGAGGCATGTCGAGGTTAGATGTTTTATGTTTTATTTTAGAAATTTTCTTGAATTCTTGGTTTTTCTCCAGCTAAGCTCAAATTTGTGCTAGAAAAGTCTCGGTAAAGGGTACTCCAATAGGTATTCCGTTCTTGAATTTGAAGCCTTAAGTTCGTGATCGGTCTGGTCCTGGCTTTAAGGCGAGTCCTCCTGTTGCTGACACTCGGTTATGACACGGAGATCGTGCAAAAGATAGGCCAAACTCAAAATACCTCGAAAAGCTCCACATTGCGCCCAGGTACAGATTTAATACGAGGCATTTTGGTGGGTAACGTGTCGGGCCAAGCAAAGGTTAACTTCTCACGGTTATAATCGCAACGGAGGTCAGTCTAAACCAGCTGCTCTAGACCTACAAAATAAGGCAAAATGGGAGTCTGAAAATAATTTTTTTAATTTTGTTAAGGCCAGTGACGAACAAGGGAGATGTACTACCACAAAAAAATAAACTTTAACAAGATATATTGCAGTGTTTCAGTAGATCGATGCGGTCTTGATGGCGTGTTCTACTCGTTCCGAGAATGCGTAAGCGGCTCAGAGGTAAACTCCTCGTAATTATCCCAAGGTGGATATAGTTTTAGGAGGGTAATGACAGTCTAGAGGTCAAAGTGGAGGCCACCTGGCGTTGAGAGCACCTTTCTCTCGCACCTCTAGTCTATGTTTACTTGGAACGCGTGGCACAGCTGGCCAAAATGAGTCATGATCCGATGCGCCCCCCTCAACCAGCATGTCGCTTGCGCAATCAACAGCGGGCGTTTTAATGGATTCGCAGAGAGAGATGGTAATCTCTCGTAGGGGGAGTTTGATATCGGACCGCATCTTTTTATGCAGGCGAAAGCCATCAGACCACCCACTTAGTTGATGTAACAGTTTCGTCCTCCCCCTCACCATCAATCGACAATTAATTTTTGCAGAGTAGATATCATTAATTTATTTGGAAAAACGAGAAAAAAGAATCGGTGAGCCAGAAAGTCAGGATGCTAGTGCCTTGTTATCAAGACGTCGATGTGAGTTAAATAAACTCCCTTTTTACTCGGACCTAGTTAATTTAAATTCTCTCTGATTAAATCTGTTCCCACTCCAGCAGTTTGTATACTAATTGGATTTCTTCCTAGCATTTTTAGTCAGGGATTCGGAGGATATTCATATATATTCATATAAAGTGAGTCTGTGACGCATCTACGTGGCTTGTGAGAACTTCCTCATTTAAACGCCTTGCGTGCATTGGGGACGACGTTTGAGACGAAGTTCCAGGGCTGTTAAAAGCTGTTGTGACACAAATCCTTTACCTGCAAACAATTACTCTTAAGAATTAAATCTTACAATTGTTCAACCTAATAAATCCCAATCTGAGAGGCTTACTTAATTGCTGGTGCTTTTAAGTATCAGTAAGGTTGTTTTGGGCCAACTAACGATGAGCAACTTCTGAACTCTGTTTTAGGAAAAAAGAGGCAGGAGTTCCAAGTCCATCTAAGAAACCATTACGACTACCATTGTCCAAAATGCAACTATACGTCAAGGACAGAGGGTCGGCTGCGACGACATATGGAAAGCTTTCACTCCGCCGTGCCTCCGGAAAACTTCTCTGGCAAGTCTGGCAAACCTGCGGGCAAGCTTAAATTCCAACGCTGCAAACAGTGCGATTATGTGGCCGAAACAAAAGTAAGCCATTAGCAAGCCTGTGGGTCCTCAATTGGCGTTGTGCTACCTAACACTACCGTAGGTTGGGCGATTAATTAACCTGGTTGAGAAGCCGTCTAAGTTAATCGCTTCTTAAACATTTTGGTACATTAACGTGTACTTTCCTTGTCAGTCTCAAACAATACCCCGCTTGATTATGCTGGTGCGACATTAGCAACTTCGTAGAATGACTGGCATATAGGTAAAAGATGGTGTGATTTAAATATAACGATGACATGAACAATGAACAAGGAGTGCAGCAGTCTTCCCGTCAGTTGGCTTCTGAAATAAGCTTAATCTTACCACCCAGCTTCGCTTTTGGCGCTAAGTGAGTGGCTCATTGGATGGTTAAATCAATACAGCGATCCTCTGTTTATTTTTACTTATTTATGAGGTTACACCGGCTTCCTGCTCCAAGTTGTTAAGAGGGGAGGATTAAGGTTGCCTTGGCAACCGGGAATAAAGGGGAACGAAAGTCGAGGTACCGGTGATGTCAGGGGGTTCACCACAGTTACTAAGCCCGTCACCGCAGCCGCCACCGTTGTCAGCAGAGTTCACTTACGCAATGTCGGCAGGTGGTCACGCTGATATTCTCCCCAAAATTAGTAATCGGTGAATGCATGCTGAGATAGCTGACCGAAGGCCTGTCAACCAAAGCGAACTTAATGGCTCCCCTCCTTGCCAGGCGATAAATCGTAGGACCTTGGCTGTATAAATTTGGTCAGGTGTAAGCAGACTACCTGTCACCTTGCCAAAAATATGGTGCAAAGTGTTGTGAAATTACAGGGAAAATCAATTAGAACAACGCACTTGTGGACCTAAATGGCGAATCGCCTACTCAGGATACAGTTGATTCTCTTGTTAGATCGCCTTAATCACGAGTAATCATGATTTATTCCAAAACTTCCCTGTCACAAAGATGCCATAAGAAACTTGTGAACGGAAATGAAGTTTATTTGACATTTGTACAACGAGATAGTCCTAAACTTAAATTTGTTATTAAGGACCACCTGAGCTACATTAAGTTGCGATTTCGCTTTCACTTTTTGCGAAATATACTGCGTGGTGATGACCCAATCACCGGGCCTTTAACGCCAGCATAAATTTTAAACCAGGCAAATGTGCAGCTTTCCAAAGACGTTTAATTTCGATCGATATAAGTTCTAGAAAGGCAATGGCAAAGGAACACAAACGGCATCCGGTGGCTCCGAGGTCGGCCGGCAGCACTGGAACGCAACGGTTAGATGCGAATTAATAGCTGATTGGAAATAACTGTTGTGTAGTGCAGCGTAGATTACTGGCCAGTCAAAAGTCGAACTCACGAATGGGCAACTGGGTACATAAACAGGAGCGCTTGAAAAAACATAAGTCATTTTTAGCCCTGTGGTTAATTGACTGGAAATCGGCATCTTGGCAGCTGTCCAGGAGATCAGTGTCGGCAGATTTTTACGTCGAACACCAGACTGGATTTGGTTCCAGAGCTTAAGGCAACCGAAATTTGCATAAGATCCACAAAACATAAATTTTCTCCCCTCAAAAAATCCACTCATCAGCAAGTCAGCGGATTGGTAAGATATGTTTGCTGTTTTCCTACAACTGGGTTTTGCTCAGTAGAATGAATATTATAGAGTCGAGCTATTAATTTACCAGTCGGCGCTAACTTTTACCAACATTTATAGGTTCAAATGTTAAAAAAACGGTTATAGTTTATGCATGACCCTGAAATGATTCTGCTGAAGCCTTTTAACAAACATTGCTGAAACCCATATCATTATATAAATGACATTAATGCACAGACACAAAGCATTCAACAGAAGCAGACTTTTAAATCCATGGACGCTGATGGTTATGACGTCTTGGGTGAAACTAATTTTATTCAAAACATAGGTTTATCCTAGGACTAGAAAATCTCGGAATCTTGTCAGAATTTCCAATTTTTTTATTTAAATTTTAGACGGACTATTGGTTACACCAGCGGCTTCACATTAAAGCGGATAGGCAGCTTGAATGTACACATTGTCCCTTCGTAACGGAGTATCGGCACCACCTCGAGTACCACATCCGCAACCACCTGGGTTCGAAACCCTACAAGTGCACAAAGTGCAACTATGAGTGCGTAAACAAATCGATGCTCAACAGCCACATGAAATCCCACACAAATGTTTACCAGTACCGCTGCGCCGACTGTAACTACGCGACAAAGTACTGCCACAGCCTAAAGATACATCTTACAAAGCAAAAACACACACAGGCCGTTGTCCTGAACGTCGATGGAAGCCTTCCGGAGAAGGGTGGGAGGATAATGATGAGGACCGATCGCGAGACTAATCCACACCCTTCTCCACTCCCAGTCGCCCCCCCTCTGTCCCTCATTTCACCACTCCCTCTCGCAATTCCCCAGGAAATTCCATCTTGTGACTCCCAGAGCACCCTGGCCGCCATGGCCGCCTTCTTAATTTCCATGCAGCAACAGGCTTTCCCACTTTCGACGTCGTACTTCTCACTTCCAGAAGGACCCCTCGGACCTGATGCCTCGTTCAACTCCGACGACGTACTGGATCTCTCAGCTCCAAAAGCTGAAATGAAGAAAGAGTGCGATGAGTCAAAAGCCCCACTCTCGACCCAGAATGAGTGTCCGTACTGTGAAATAATTTTCAAGAATGAGGTTCTCTTCGACCTCCATAAGCAATTACACAATCCGGAAGATCCATTTTTGTGCATGCGCTGTGGAGTTAGAAGTAAAGATTCAGTGGAATTTTTTAATCACCTAAACAAGAAGGAACACGGAGGCACTTTATCTAATTCCCTGTAAAAAGCGTTTTATCGATCCCACAATATCACACATCACGGAGCAGACTAGACACTCCTCTGTCACATAATGACTCATTTTTGTATATACAGGAAACGTAACCCCAAGTGAGTGCACATATTTTAATATTTTCGGATTAAACTTTTATGTCACCTACAAAATAGATATTTTATTTGTCGGACAAAAAAGGCTTTTTTAGGTATGGAGAAAAAAGGTACTACGAAGGCTTCAAAGTTGCACATGATCTCGCTACGGAATAGAGCAGGATTTGGAATCCCTGCAACCAACGTCAGGTTATTTCCAAAACGCGACAGCTTCGGCTGTAGTTTGTCATTCCTTGAATAAATGAACATTGTGCCAAGCCAGATGTTACCTTTACAAAAAGGATTTTTACCTGTGGGTAGAATCAATTTTGACTTATATTCCCGAAAAGGATACCCTTACATCATAGGTAGTTTTTCCTAGTCCCATTTTGTAGTAAAATTCTACGCCGATTTAATTTCGAAATTGTTCGACAGCATGGGCGACTGGCATCCACACACACCTAGCTCCTACACACGTCAACGCTGATAAGCGATGCATCCTTAAATGCTTGGAATTGATCTTGTACCATTACATTATGTTCGCCTGCAGTGATATTTTAACGACAAGTTTTCTCTTTTCGATCATTTGACCCGATCTTGATCCTGCCCACAGAATTTGGCCCTATCTATTAGAGCAATGTCTACTTCGGCGAAGTGGCATGTCCTAAACGTTAGAAAATACGCCGAATTTATGACAATTTGAAAGTGGAGTAAGTTGACTTAAATGAATAAGCGTTCCTCATATAAGTGCAGACAGGTACAATTTCAGAGACCTTAAAAACAATTTGGGTGGCTTAAATTGTTATCGGAAAGCCTTCCAGTCACAGAAAAAGATGTTTAACACAGCAATCAGAATGGGTTCGAAATGTGCCTGAATGTATGGCGGCGACCTCCACTAGAGTCATCGTTAGTGCTTTCGATTAAGGCGTCACGAATTTCACACTCAATCGTTCGAGTCGTATCACGGCTGCTCTATGTATAATTTACGCGGCAACACAGGCTCAAAACTTTTGAGCGTTTGATTCTTCAACTGGGTACACGCAAGCAAAGGTGCGCTGAAATGAACTACACGTAAGCGAGTAGTCCTAGAAAGCATACAATAATGTAGCCATTCGTAGGCGATTTACTGTCTGGCTGCTAATTGATGCTTTCAAATCACTAGCACAATTCGCTGCTTAAACATTTTAAGTAGAAATTTTATGAAACACATTTGGCCGGCCAATTCACGAAGAACCCCGTAATTTGTAATATCCTAGACATTTAGAAACAGTAAACGTGATATTGAAAGGTAGTTTTGCTGGTAGGATCAGCTATTTTTGTGGACATGCAAAATTTGTTGAGAAGTTGAACATAAAATCCGCAAATAAACAAGTTGCATAAACTAATAATCATTCGGGATTAACCGATGAGTCATTAGTCAAAACAAAGACTTTAACCAAATCTTTCAAACTATGCTATTAAAGAAGTGTGATTTATCTAGTGGTTTTTTTCCAATTGTCTACAACTTTATCCAGTCTACTAGCAACAAGATCACCTGGACTAAACAACTGAAAGTCAACTCTGCGAAAAAAACAAAGGACTCAGTCTGATTGATGATTGCAAAAAGACTAATTGTTTTGGACAAAACGTTTTAATTACCTCACAAGTAATCAAAATTGTGTTGGTCTTTTAATGTTAATACTTCACAGGGGCCAACAGCTCTGCGGTTCACTAGGCTGGGGAAGGTTTGTTGTTGTTAGGGCGGATCAGAAGATTTCCATTTTTTTCAGATACTTATTAATGTTATTAGTAATGGGCAACTAACAATTCAGTCCACAGTCGGAAGAGCAAGCCAAATGTGAATTATCCAGATCGAGAAAGTCGTCAGAAATGAATACGCATGAAAGTTGCACAGGGTTGAAGTTTGTCGACGCGCTGCTTTTATAAGTGCATTGAAGGAAGAGTTCAAATGTAATAAAAATCTGCCTCGATATAATTAACATTCTTCAGGTCTTCAAAAAACATGCTTCAGACTTTTGGGGATCTCCAACAATATTTGATTATTCCATAGACCCTATTGTATCTTAAAGTGGATTGCATTCTGTTGACCGAATGCATAAAATTACTGAAATATGACATCCCCAACTGTGGCATTATTATGTTGCGGACCCCAGCAAGTGGTTAGGAACCACGCCGGGGCCACTGAATTAACTCTGACCCGATTACCCTTCCCTGATGCCCACGATGAGAGAGAAGACCGGAGAGAACGAGGGCATAACCGTTTACTTCTGAGCTCAATCACGTTGGTGTCGTTGTCGTGTGTTGGGTTTGATCTTGTGTATTTATACCTCAGAGGCGTGAGTCCTTAAATGTGCTGACATCGAGACCTAGGTGTGAGAATAATCTAGTCTAAATGTTCGTGCTCATGACGGGGGAGGGTTGAGGATCCGTGCGGCGGGTGAACCAGTGGCTTTACACAGTGGTACTCCAATAATTTATATCCATTAGTTTGCATTTGTGTTTTAAAGCAAAGAACGAACTAACTTCATTTTAAATGCAGCAAAGGGGCCAATCTTTCATCAAGGTTTCTTAAATTCTTGGAGATACCACTGAATTTATGATCAGGGAAGTTAACCCAAATGGCGAAAATAAGTTCTTTAGAGGCACTTATAGTGCCTTGTAGAAAGTGCTGCAACATTTAGGAGCTAGGTGAATGCAATAACACTTACGCATGAGAAAAAGTCAAAATGCACACGTTGGGAGAAATTAGAAGCAAACCTTTCCGAAGCTCAACGCAAAAATCAATTAGTCTTAGTTGTAAATCTGCCTTGGGGTGCCAGTAACACGGCTGGGTTCGAACCCACCGAACCAAATTTGCACGTGGGTCATAAACACGTCGCTGATGCCAGTTTTTCACACGATTGGGTTCAGCATATGCTGGAGCAAAGCGGTCTGAAAAGCTTCAACTTATTTTGAGCCATAAGACTGCTACTGGGGCAGATTCTTTATAGCTGATTTTAATGGTAAGAGTAAAGAAAGTTCAACATAACGGTATGGAAGGTTCTCCAAACTCCATTGTTAATTCTGCAAGTGATGTGGTTACTTGAATTTCCTTCACAGTTTCTATTGAAATAATAGCTGTGCATGAAAATTCAGTTGGCAAAAAAATTCTTTGAAAAACAAAAGTTTTGTCATGTATTAAGCTCAGGAAAATTCATAAATTTCACCGATCAGTGGAATTATGCGAATCACTACTCAGCCTTTTTCTCTCATAGCTGAATGGCAGAGGAGAGACAAGGTCAAGTGCTTGCTTTTCCCGTGGCCCTTTTAACTATGATTCTGATGATTTCACAAATCAAAGACAAAACTGGGATATGGTTCTTAAGCTAGTGCTTTCTTGGAGAGCGCTCACAGGAAAGGGTAAATGTGTTACGAGACAGCTAAAAGCAATGCTGTGGCTGTTGTGATTCCTGTGTAGTCAATTACGGAAGTTAAATTTCGCTCTAGAAAGCGGATTTCGTTGTTTTACAGAGTCTCTCATCATAAACAGATGGAGCAATCAACTAATATGTCGAACACCGACACATCAAGTTAAAAACAAAAGAGCAAGATATCTTAGCAACTTGAAGAACAAGTGCATTGGTTTTAAATACGCGAGGAGAGCAGAGAAAACATGAGCATCGAGCAATGGGGCGATTCGCAGATAAATACCTGACGCGCCTGATAGCCAAGGCCACCGAAACGCGAGGACATTCGAGAGGCCCCAAAATCAGCAAATTCAGGTGAAATGAAATTATTCTACATAAGTGTCAAATTGTCTTCAAGACAAACAGCACTACTCATTGCTATGCTTCATCAATTAATGCAGGATGCAGTCAAACACTGAAAAAGACACGCAAATTGGAGGACCTTCTCACCTTCAAATTATTCAGTAAAAGAAAGAAATCAACAGCGCTGGGTCCGTTCCAGAGCTAAATAGCAGACAACGATGACATTAGTGAAGATTAAGTGGTAATGTTTGAGTCTTTGCTAGGAAATTTAATGGAAGACAAAGACCACTCAATCACATCTTCGGATTTAACACTAGAGGGCAATAATTTTTCATCGATGTTTCTAGGGCGTCAGAAATTTAGTTCACCACATACACAATCAAAGCTGGTGTTTGCAGCCTCATTACAGCCATGGAAAATTAAAAACAGAAAAACCTTGAGAAGTGAGGCAATTTTGACTATTTTCTTAGAAATAGCCTGAGATAGGGACGCACAAATAGATTCTGAAAATACCTGGTAAACAACATGTTTTCGAATAACCAGAACTGAAGAAACATTAAACTATTAGAGTTCTTCCAGTACGTTAAAAATTTTACTTAAATTCGACTAATGAAAATGGATTTGTTCTATGTTGCACCTGATAACTAAATTTAGTTTGATGGTACCGTCACCGGTTCTGAAAACAAATAAACTACGTAACATTAGATAAGGACAATTAGTAAAATTTTACAAAAAAGAAAGATATATGGAGAAACAAAGTAAAGCAAGATCGTGGTGGAAAAGGAAGAGTGGTGTATATCTGTAACATACCAAAGTCGCCATGGACGGCCCTATCAGACTGCATGGAATGAGCAAGAGTGCCACTGAAGTGATATGGTAGATGCGAAACAAATTGACTTGGTTACAGTCATACTCGCACCTTCCTAAAACACATCCATGATATCGCTTCTTGTGGTTGTTTCCTTCTCATCCGAAAACCCTCCATCAGTGTCTTTCTATTCTACTCCCCTACTTTGTGTCATGTTGGTTTGCTTGATTCCTTCCGTAACTTCTTAGGTTTGTGGCTGTTTCCTACACCGCTCTGTCGCACAAGTCCTTTAGTTCCACCCACAATCTGCTCTAACTCCAGAACGATGTCATCTTGTCTGCCGAACTGATCCTCAGGCGACGC